ACTGACTCCATATCATGTTTTTCAGAAAACAAGAGAAGGAAATTCTTTCCAGATTATTTGGTAAAGGAAGTATTACTCTTACAATCAAAGAATTTGGAGTAAAAAAAGGATAGATTAATATCCCTCATAAACATTGAGGCAAAAATCTGAAATATTAAGAAAAAAACCTGTCAATATGTTTGAAAAAAAAAATACATCACAACAAAGTAGAATTTATACCAAGAGTGAAGTGATTTAACACTTGAAAAGCAATCACTATAACACCATGTTGATATATTAAAGGTGAAAAAGTAGCTAGTAGGATGGTAGAAGTAGAAAATTGAATTATGTCAACCTAAGGAAACAAAAAATTCAGATATTGAGCATTAATAAATATATAAAAGACATCACACCTTGATAAAAATGTGTTATTTAACAATGAATTTTAAAGAAGTATATTCACATGATATATTAAATTTTAATCATCTGAGCAATTGTGACATATATAAACTTTTATATGTAAGAAAATTGAGGCATAGAAGAATACAACCTAAAATCTTTTGTAATTATGTAATTACATAATTACATAATTACACTTGCTGGCTGGCACCTTGATCTTGGATTTGAAATTGTGAGAATGAATGGTCTGTGGTTTAAATCCTACAACCTATGTTATTTTTTGGAGCAATCTAAGCTTTGTATCTTATGTAATAATTATGACACCAGAATCTGAACTCACAACCTGCATTCATTGAATAAAAATATTCTTTATTAGTTACTTATTATTTTCAAATCTGGAAGAGTCAAAACCATAGGAAGCAAGAGAAAAATGTGTCCTTCATGTACAAACTCTCTTGAAAGTCAGCATTCCCTGACCTGAGATGTGAGCACTACATTTTAACAACACCCCCAAAAGATTCTTAGTTCTATGAAGTACTAATGAGCAAACAGATATTTGGATACCACTATTCTACCTCAGTACCAGAAGACATAGGAATTGTAATATTGTCTACTAAATATTTTAAGTTACTTAGGCCAGTGCAACATACATAGTAGATGCTTAATAAATGGAATGATTGCAAATGACAGAAAGGAAAGTGAGATCAAACAAGATAAGGATTGAAAGCTGCCCATTAGTTTTAAATGTCAACTCAGCTGGTGACTTGTGATTGATGGAACAATGCCATGGAGCTGGGTGCACATATTTTTGGAGTTAACAGGGTTGACTGTGGGCAGAAAGAGAAGCTAGAGTTACACTTAGAGAGAGAGAGAAAAAAAATCTATGAGGACAAAGTAGAATATGAGGCAGTTAAAGGGAGTGTAGACGTGACCAGAGGAACACAATGGAGAAAAGAAGCTCTGAAATGAAGAGCCTGAGACAAGAATACAGAAAATCACACCCAGAGACGCTGGTCAGAGGGTCTCAGCAGGCAGTAGGTGAGCGGAGACTCAGAAAAAGTGCTGAAGGAGAAGGGATGGAAAATCAGGGATGGAAAATGATCCTAAAGGAAGGAAGGAATCTATGGACAATGCAGACTCAAGTTATGGAACTCTCTGGAACAATGTAGAGAAGGTTTCACTACAGGTCACTAGGGAGTCTCCATAGAATGACTTCCTTACGCAGGAAACACTGAACAGACGGATCGACCCCATCGTTAATGAGATGTGCACATCTGTCCACAATTCCGCCTAGAGACACCTCCTCTCGTGCTGAGTTGGGGGAGAGAGGACAGAAGAGAAAGGAAGCAGCTGCTGCACAAAGACTCACTGAGCCATGGGCCAGGGAGGTTTATGTATGAGGCTGAAACACTGTGGGAGGATATTCATCATACTGCTGACAGTAATAAACACCCGCATCTTCAGCCTGGAGGCTGCTGATAGTGAGAGTGAAGTCCTTTGCAGACCCGCTGCCACTGAATCGGTCAGGGACCCCAGGTAGCCGGGTGGATGCCCAGTTAATGAGCAGCTTAGGCGCCTGTCCTGGCTTCTGCTGGTACCAGGCTAAGTAGTTCTTCTGGTTGGAACTGCGCAAAAGACTCTGGCTGGACTTGCAGGAGATGGTGACCCTCTCTCCTGCAGACATGGCCAAGGGGCCCGGAGATTGGGTCATCTCGATGTCCCCAGAGACTCCTGCAAACAGAAGTGGACATTGACCATACATTGCATCGCCAATATATTTAAACATAAACCTAAACTATAGATTTTATCATGAAAACAATTTTGATAAAATAATTTCAATGCCAATGTTAACATAATCTCCAACTTTATGAAGATAATTTTCTTCTAAACCTCTTACCTGAGACCCAGAGCAGCAGGGAGATGAGGAGTTGTGACTGTGGCACCATCTTGCTGTATCTCAACTGTCTGACACACTTGGTGCCCGACACAAGAAACCCTATTAATAGAGCTCTGAGCAGTTAATCAAGTGCCTGAGTTTCCCATGCAAATCATCAGACAGCCTGAAATCAAAAGTGACTGTGTAGTGAGTTGTAAAGATGAATAATGAAAAAAAAGAGATAAAATATCTTCGACTCAGGAAACATGATTGCATGTCGACAGGAAAACCAGAAATCAATTTAAAACTATCCTTGTCAATAATACCCAGCAAGACCTCAGAATGTAAAGTTTAGTTAGTACCAACTGCTCTATTTCAAACCCAGTCAACTAGAAACCTTTGTAAAAGTAAAACAAGAAGGCAGATGTGCTTAGGTGCATTGAACTTCAGAACCTACTGGAGATTATATAAGTATGAAATATAATCATGTCAATAGATTGAACATGTAGAATACTTGCTTGTTTCTCTATGTAAGACCCTTCCTAGTTTTAAATACATTTTTTAAATTTTGTAGACTATCCCTCCCTCAATTTGGATTTGTTTGATCTTCACTCATAATCAGATTCAGTTTATGCCTCTTTGGCAGGAATATTTGAAAGTGGTTCTCTGCCCTCACCGCACAGCCCTTCACTCTGCCTGTTGCTGATGCGTCACTTCAACTTAGGGGTGTCTGCCAGATGTCTCCACAGCAGAGTGCTCTTTTGCCCTTGAAAGTATTAAAAATATGTGGAAAGAGTCCTTAACACATTGTGAATATCCTATTCCCATAAAAGTGTCAGTATAGAATCATGGGTTCATATTATTTTCAATAGTTACGATCATGATTTACTCAAAATTCCCTAGACTCAACCAATAGGAGTCCTTTCCCACATGGCTTCTCTTCACTTTTTTTTTTTAAGATTTATTTATTAATGCATACAAGAGCTGGGGTACAGGCTAGAGGTGCGGGGGGTGAGAGTGTTCACCAGAGACAGAGTGGGGAACAAAACAGGCAGACTGACTGAAATACACTGCTGAGGGGAGCAGCGGGAGAGTCAGGATAAGTCTGCTGTGCCATGTGGGTAGCTCCCTGGCTGGCTGGGGATTGAACTTGTGCTGCAGAGGCTGTGGATTGCTTCATAGTGCGGTGCTTAACCCCTTGTGCCACCAGGGAGGCCCAGCTTCTCTTCACTTTTGCCATAACCTCTTCATTCTTCGTGTGCTTTTAGTTTCTGCCCCAAATTGTCCAGACTCATTTTGTATTTTCTCAATCCTAGACATGGAATCACTTCCTTAAAAATTATTGGTTAGTTTTAGTGAAGAACAGTGGGCATTATAAATGCTTATTAGATCTGGGCATTATAAATGCTTGTTAGGAGTTGGGTGTTACTATATTTAAGTGAGAGAAAAATCTATCATCTATCTATCTACATATCTACTGCCTGCCTGACTGCCTACCTACCGACGATGTCTCTGCCTTACTATCTATCATCTATATTTCAGCAATGATTTTCCACTGATAACCTCCATTCCAATGCCAAACCAGTTTTTTTCTAACAATCCATTTATTTATAACTCTTTTCTCTATTACTGAAAGTCTTGGTTCAGATTATCCTCAATATACTTATGACAGGATCAAAACCCTCTAGGATAAAACCAATCTCCTATTGTTTTTGACATGACAATCCCCTTATGGACAACTCCCCCACACTCTCATGCATATATCTTGTTCTTCACTAATATCCCTGGCAAAATCTTTCACTTTCACATTCCTCTTTGGATGCTACTCTATTTACTCCCCAGCCCTCTGCATTCAACCATGGAGGGCTGTGTTCTCTTAGGAAGATCCCTATAGTAGTGGAGAAATGTGAAAGTTTAGCATTGAATACGAAGATTTCACTTGGTACAGAAAGACTGCAGCTTCGGTTGGTAATAACTTGGTTAAGGACGATGAAAGGGAAAAGCAATGATATAAGGAGCCCAGGGAACATGGGAATGGGGAAAGACACAGAAAGAAAGTTAATGAAATATTTCAGATATGTACAAAGGATCCCTGACTATAATAGTCTTGATTGAAATGGTGGGAAGAGCATTCAGACATGGAGGACAGATCACGTAGCTGGAGTTGACAGGTGAGCAGGGCAGACACTCAGTGACAGACTCGTTCTTACCAAGCATGACACCCACCCGGCTTTTTTGTGTTGTCCCTTGCTTTGATGGTTTATTGCATCTTTGACTGATAGAAATGTTAATTTGCTACACCAAGGACTTTAAATCTTCAACCAAAACAGAAGTTTCTCTAGACATAGTAAGGTCATAGGTACTTAATGCAAGGGCTGGTAAAGTTTCTTGCAAGTCCTAGGACTGTGCTATGCCTGGCAGATCCCATTTTAGGGAAATGGCAAGAGAAACACACCCTGAAACTTGGAGCACAACAGAAGAAGACTGTACTCATAGGAGGGCAGACTGAGTCTGAGACTACCAAAGAGAAACAGTCTCTGCAGGCAGATTTGTTCTTCCCCTTTGACAGTGGTAAATTGGCAGAGGCTGCACCTGTGCTGAAAGAGCGAAATCTGTCAGCCCTGCAGCTGTGCCCAGCCCACTCCGCCCCTGCTGATTTGCATATTTCCAGAGCACAGTCCACTGGCATGAAGACTTAATGGTTGGTCCCAGCCCGTGCAGGAGTCAGTCCCAGTCAGAACCCAGCATGGACATGAGGGCCGCCGCTCAGTTCCTCAGCCTCCTGCTGCTCTGGCTCCCAGGTGAGGAAGGAAACACCAGGAGTTAATCAGCCCCGGGTGGGCAGGACCCCTAGCCCTCAGGGAAGCCCTCTGATGACAGAATGACAGTGTGGCTGTGTTTTCTGTTTCCATCTCAGGGACCAGGTGTGCCATCCAGATGACCCAGTCTCCATCCTCCGTGTCTGCATCTCCAGGAGACAGAGTCACCATCTCCTGTCGGGCCAGTCAGGACATTAACAAGTGGGTAGCTTGGCATCAGCAGAAACCAGGGAAAGCTCCTAAGCTTCTGATGTATGCCACATCCACTTTGCAACCCGGGGTCCCATCCCGCTTCAGTGGCAGTGGATTTGGGACAGATTTCACTCTCACCATCAGCAGCCTGGAGCCTGAAGATGCTGCCACTTACTACTGTCAGCAGGATCAGAGTAGCCCTCCCACAGTGATTCAGTCCTGAACAAAAACCACCCAGAGGCCGATGTGTGAGGCTGGGCAGCCCCTGCTGCTCCTCCTGGTGCCCCATCTTCTGACAGAGATTGTCAGATGCAGCCAGGATTTGAGGGTGACTGGCAGGTCTCAGCGAGGTCTCAGAGAGGTCCTCAGCACCCTAACTTCCTTCTTCCTCAATCCCAGCAACACAGAGACAGTGCCTCTGCTAATTTAGAAAAGATGGATGATTTCACTGAGTTACAGAACCATATTGATACAGAAAGGAGCAGCCTCTCTAGAGTGTCTTGGCAGGAACAACTCAATATAGGGAATTAATGTCTGAACCACATTCTTTCAAACACTTGGAGATTTGAGTCCAAAGGAAGCAAATAAGCAAATTAAGAAGGTGAATCCTGGGTACTCTTCCAGAAGCCAGAGAACAGATTCCTCTGGGGATATGAGCAGCCTAGCATGTGGTTCTCAGGCTTGTCTGGGAAATCTACAAATGGGGCACCTCACCAAGTGACTCTCCAGTCTTTACCTTCTCCACAAAGCTGCGTGCCCATATCGATGAATAGTATTGAAATCTCCTATTCTGATCCCCAAATCTCAGGGACAGCAACTCACTGAGCAATTTGTGGGAAACAAGAGATGGGAAAGTCTTCAGAAGTGATGATGAAGATGCGGAGTTGGCAGCAGACAACCTAGATGTCTGTCGCTATTTTTACTTCTTTCAGAATTGTGTGGTTTTGGACAAAGTCCTAAATATGGAGCTATACGAGGACTTACTTCCAACTATCTGTCTGGATTCAGAATAAGAAACCTTTGTTAAGTGACTGAACAGAGTGAGGAAATTATATAACATTATAGAAGTAATTTTACAAACAGCATGCTTGGCTATGTGGGGTCTTTTGTGGATCCATATAAATTTTAGTTATGTTTCCTCTATTTCTTTGAAGAATTCCATCAAAACATTGATACTGGTTACATTGAATCAACATATTGCTTTAGCTAAAATGGCTAGTTATTACTTAGTTTTTTTAATAAATTTTTAAGGTAGCATAGGTTTATAGGTTTATAATACCGTGGATCAGAATTAAAGGCTTCTTGCCTTGTTCATGCAGTTTCCTTTGTGGAATCAGAGAATGAAATAGCAAAGAAAAACACCTTTCTTAGAACTTGGGATCTATATTCAATACAGATTTGAAACGGCCATTTGCAGTTTTCTGCAGAGATGGCCTTAAGCATGTTTACAAATGCAGAATGTTTTCAATTTAGGGAAGAGAGGGCAGATTTCCTCTCTCCAATCCCACCTGCTGGCTCCACCAGGCTCCCAGGAGACTGCCCAGTGGCATGGAGCTGAGATCTAAACAGAACTGAGAACTTGAAGACCGGCTTCCCTGTGCTTAACCCCTGTCCTCTCAATACATCCAGGGGAACTGAGGGGTGCAAGTAGGACAGATAACTGCCGCAGAGGTAACACTGAGAGAGGGAGACAGTGTGGTGTGAGCAGAGCAGCTGCATGGGGAGCGACCCCACCCTGATGACTCTGCAGCCACTGCATTGATATTAGATGTTGACAGCAGTATATTACGGTGCAGACTCAACAGGGCTGACACTGAGAGATTCTTGCTGTATTGAACAGGAAACAGTTGGTGAAAAGAACGTGCAGCTGGTGGCAGTTCTATTGGCCTAGCAGGCACCTGTGGAGGCAGGAAGCAGAGGTTTTGTAGACACACACCCTTGAAGGAGGGGAATACTGTGGAGGAGCTGGGTATTCTATACAGGCTGGGTCCCCAATAGAGATAATAGCAGAACAGGTACTGTGATTTTCACTCCCTCACTGCTCAGCTCCTCAGCCTGGACACCACCTGTGGGAAAAGTAAAATAGATTCACCCCTAAGTTACTTTTGAAGAAATTAAAAATGGATGGAAAATGATCCTAAGGGAAGGAAGAAATTATGGACAATGCAGACTCAGGTTATGGAACTATCTGGAACAACGTAGAAGAGGTTCCACTACAGGTCATTCGGGAGTCTCCATCGAATGACTTCCTTACGCAGGAAACACTGAACAGATGGATCGACCCCATCATTACTGAGATGTGCACATCTGCCCACAATTCCGCCTGGAGACACCTTCTCTCATGCTGAGAAAGAGACAGGACTGAGCAGAAAGGAAGCAGCTGCTGCACAAAGACTCACTGAGCCATGGGCCAGGGAGGTTTATGTACGAGGCTGAAACACTGTGGGAGGATATTCATAATACTGCTGACAGTAATAAACACCCACATCTTCAGCCTGGAGGCTGCTGATGGTGAGAGTGAAGTCCTTTGCAGACCCACTGCCACTGAATCGGTCGGGGACCCCAGGTTGCCGGGTGGATGCCCAGATGATGAGCAGCTTAGGTGGCTGTCCCGGTTTCTGCTGGTACCAGGCTAAGTAGTTCTTCTGGTTGTTGCTGTACAAAAGACTCTGACTGGACTTGCAGGAGATGGTGACCCTCTCTCCTGTAGACATGGCCAGGGAGTCTGGAGACTGGGTCATCACGATGGCCCCAGAGACTCCTGCAAACAGAAGTGGACATTGACCATACATTGCATCACTAATATATTTAAACATAAACTTAAACTATAGATTTTATCACAAAAACAACAATTTTAGATAAAATATTTTCACTGCCCATGTTAAAATAATCTCCAACTTTATGAAGATAATTTTCTTCTAAACCTCTCACCTGAGACCCAGAGCAGCAGGGAGATGAGGAGTTGTGACTGTGGCACCATCTTGCTGTATCTCAACTGTCTGGCACACTTGGTACCTGACACAGGGAACCCTATTAATAGAGCTCTGAGCAGCCAGCTGAGTGCCCGAGTTTCCTATGCAAAGCATTGGACAGCTTGAAATCAAAAGTGTCTGTGCAGTAAGTTGTGAACATGAATAATGATAAAAAAAAGAAACAAACATATCACTGCCCCAGGAAACATGATATACCAGAGACCCAGAAACCAATTTAAAAGTATCATTCTCAATACTACCCAACAAAATCCCAAAATGTAAGCTATTGTTAGCACAAACTACTGTATTTCAAATTGACTAGATAATGTAAATAGCTTTTACAATAAAATATTGGTATTTATTAGCATATGATTTCAGAATATAATTGACACCATATAAATATGGTATCAATATATAGAATCTTTTTGTATCAGTGTAGATTGAGGATATAGTGAATACATTTATAGCCACTCAAATCCTCCCAATCCGCTTTCACCAAAACAACTATGGTGTCATGGCACCCCCTAGGAGTAATAGTTGAAATAGTTTCAGTTCCTGAACTCGGCTAGAGCTGGTCTTCATTTTTCCCTACTCAAAAATTTGTTTTTAATTATAGAATTAGAGAAATAACAGAATCGTACTTTTTAATGCATAGAACATTTAAGCGAACCAAGCAGAAACTCTGACTTCATAGAGCATAGAGTTCTCATTTTATTGAGTACAAATAAGATTTTATTGAGAACAAATAATGAACAAATAAGATTTGTGCAGCTGCTTCCTGAGATCCCTTTATTTCTCCAGGTGAGTGGAGCACTGTGTTTCTAGGTCCATTTGGTGAAACCGCATCCCTTAGAATGAACAGAGTCAGAGGAGAGGGAACTAATTAGTGTAGTTACTGCAGTTGCTTGCTTGTGTTTCCTGGAACTTCAACATCACTTGTGAGGGTTTTTTTTGTTTGTTTTTTTTTTAAGATTCATTTATTTATGCATACAAGAGCTGGGGCACAGGCCAGAAGTGCAAGGGTGAGAGGATTCACCAGAGACAGAGTGGGGAAGACAGATATACTGAAATACACTACTGAGGGGAGCAGCGGGGGAGACAGGAGAGGTTTGCTGCACCATGTGGTTAACTCCCTGGCTGGGGATTGAACTCGTGCTGCAGTGGCTGCAGACAGCTTGATAGGTTGCATCTTAACCCCTTGTGACACCAGGGAGGCCCCACTTGTAGTTTTGATGGAGGCTAAGAGTAGACAATTTAGGAGGAGGTATCACAATACCAGAAACTGGAGCTGGAGGTAAATGACTAACATAGTCTTTAAACCAGCATAGAAAAAAAAAAAAAAAAAAGCCTTAGGCGCCAACAGCTCCAGCAAGTACAGACCACTATAATTAAGTATCCTGAGGCAGACCAGAGGTGGGGATATGGAGATGAGGGTCACTGCAGACACTCACTGGTTCTGACAACTCTACCTTAGTCACATCCTAGAAGTAACTATTTTGACTGTAGGTAGCATCCCCAAAGGAATGAACCCTCCCAAAGAGAAGAATCCTATATCCAAGCAATTTCTGCACTGGCAAGGGGCAGCTTTCCTGCCTGCCTGTGTCTATGCAGGTATCTCTTTCTTAAATGTAACATTTCCGAGCACAACAGCCCTGCCTGCCTGTGACTATGCAGATGCTTTTTTTTTTTTTTTTAAACAGACCTTCTTCCTTCGCAAAGCAGCAGAAGCCTTCTCCACCTAAGATTTCCCACCTGTGACTATGCAAGCCTCTCTTTTCACAAAACTGTTCCTTTTAAGGGCAGCTCTTTCTGCCTGCTTGTGTCCATATAAGCATCCTTTTCTTTCCCTTTCCTCTTCTTCTATAATAAACCTGCCCTTTTGGATATAAATAAAGTCTCTGCCTTGTGGGGAAACTCGCCATGTGTTGCTAAAACTGCTGAAACTGGAGCTCCTGTGAAGCCTTTCTCAGAGGTAACGCAAGGACCCTGTTCTCTAAACCCAACACCTCTCTAAACAGCATCAATTTCATTGTTTGCCAGGTATCCACATCACCATTTGATCATGGACTTTTAAATCATGTTCCTGCAGCCCGAAACCACCAAACACCAGGTCAGTATGAAAGGGAATTGCTAAGAAAACGATATCTTTCCCTGTTGAAGTGTCACAGACCTGGAAATGTAAAGTAAATAACAAGTTTGCTTCCTTAATAAGCATATCTAAACAAGGTCTGGCAGCCTGCTAGGCTGATTGATCTCCCAGGCCATCCTCAAAGATCTGCATCCTTCCCCTTTTCCTATGTCAAGAATTTGTATGCTAACTAACCAATGTTATCAATGTAAAATGGTAATAAAAGAAACTCTGTCTCTAGACCGGTGCTCAAACCTTACGGGGCTACCCACGTCTGGGACCTCACGCGTGAGTAATAAAGCTTCTCCTGACCTCACCATTCCTGAAGTACAGCTTGTTCTTCCTTTGCCTGTGTAAAGGCTAGAATTTATTTCTGCAACAAGTAACTGTTGTGCCCAGCGTCGACCAGTGCAGCCCCCAAGGACACACAGACAGCCGCTGCAAGAACACAAAGGAGTTTATTACGTGCTCTAGTCCAGGCTCACGACACGCACCCATGTAACTGTGGAGGTCGGGAGCCCTGAACAAAGGGAACAGGGATCTTATATAGGGTTACAAGCAGATCTCTAAAAATTAAATCATGTTGGCAAACATTCATTGGTTCCACAGGTGCATTTCCTAACAACGGTGGGTGCACAGTTTCAGTTTTTGAGCTGATTGGTCACATCAAGATGCAGCTCTATTTTATGGCTAGTTTGACCCTATTAGTGGCCTGAATTGCTCGGCTCCGCTGTGGCTAGCCGACTGACATAAGACCAGAGTGGGGTGGGGGTCGAACTCTGGAATGCAGTCTTTTCCTGGGACAGCAAGACCTGAAATTCTAAAATAGCAGTTACACAGAAAATGACAAAGCAATAGCTAAGAATACTTATGCTTGGTTCCACAGTAACAGGAATCAATGCTCAGACATTGTGTATAAAAATGAGCTGGGGGCCTCCCTGGTGGTACAGGGGTTAAAGTCTCAGTGTTATCATGCTATTGCCAGCCACTGCAGCATGAGTTCAATCCCTGGCCAGGGAGCTAACCCACATGGTGCGGTGGACCTCTCCTGTCTTGCCTGCTGCTCCCCTCAGCAGTGTATTTCAGTACATCTGCCTGTTCCATTCCCCACTCAAATAGTGTCTGGTGAATCCTCTCACCCCCTGCACCTCTAGCCTACATACACCCCAGTTCTTGTAAGCATAAATAAATAAAACTAAATCTTTAAAAAAATTAAAATGAGCTGGACTCAGCCTTGGCTGGGCATCTTGCAATATATTTAATATTTCTTGAGACTATCTTTCTCCATTTTTTAAATGATTTTTTCCCGTGCTGAAATGCCTTTAGCTTTCTATACCTCTCAGATTTACAGTGACTTCTTGAAGCTCCCACTTATCTTTCCTTCTCTAGTCCTTACTCAGAAATTTGGTTACCTGTAGACGTCAGGGCTTCCATGATGATGAACTTTGGGAAGTGAGGTTAAAAGGCAGAAGAGGATGTAGAATATGGAGGAGTTCAAACCAAAAATAAGATATAAACTGAACGGTCCATGGAGGAAGCCAGAATGCAAAAACAAACCAGGAAGCCCACCTGGGAACAGGAATGCAGCAGCCTGCCTAAAGAATTCAGACAATGAAACTCTCCCTGCCTTACAAATCTTTTCTCAAAGAAACTCCCCCCCGCCCTACAAATCTTTTCGTGCCCTGCAAACTTTTTCCCGCCAAATGAACCCAGTCTCCCACCTGACCTCTCCTCACCCTGTAAAAGCCTGCCTCCCCCTGGCAATGTGCGCGACTTCACTGACCCCCACCTCGGGTCTGTGAGGTTCGCCTGGGGTGCAATAAATTTTCCCTTCCTTTGAGAAATTTAGCCTGGCTCTCCTTTTCTTTGCCGCGCCAGACCTTTCATAACCCAATTAATTCACAAGGAAATAAAATCCCCTATGGCCTTGGACATATAATTAACACATCTTTGAAGAAATGTGATATTATCCTTCTATATCTGCAATAAATGACTTGGTCATATAATGATAATAAGTAGAGAAGCAAGATGCTTTGAAATAACTCTAGTGATTAAAGCAATTTTGTAACAGGGTGGTCCTGTTGTAACAGGGTGTCCCCAGGAAAGGGGGGGAGGTTCCAGGTTTCCTGCCCCACCCTAATGGAGGGTGGAGCTGAGCAGAAAGAGAAGAAGCTGCAGAGACTGAGGAAGGAAGCAGGATGGAGCCAGAAGGAGACCTTGAGGAGGCACATGGAGGAGAGAGAGACACATAAAGAAACTGCACTTGTCTTTTGGTCGTGGACTGGGTGACACAGATGTGGGTGAGACCCGTGGGGAGGTGACAATGGCAGCTTTTATTTTGATTTTGATTTTGTTCTTTTCCTTCCGGGCTTGTCTGGTTGTTTCTGACCCTTTTCTGTGGGTCCCCACTGGAAGATGCTTTAGACTGTGTCAGGCTTTGGGACCTTGCTCTGGGGCCAATCCGATTTGGATGGAGTTTTACTCACGAGGGGACGGGTAACTTTGGGTGCTTCATTTAGAAACTAGACTCTTTGCCTTTCCTGTATTGTTTCCTAGTTTTATTAAAGTTCCTTCCCATTAAAGTCTCATATGTTTTGTGTTGATGTGGCGGATGGCAGAACCCATTTAGAATAGGCAGGTTTGCGGGGTTTGGGCTGCCCCTCTCCCTGCCCTATAACAAATTTGGCACCCAACATGATTTAGGACAGAGCCATCTGTGGTTAGTCAGCCCCATGGGGAAATTGGGCTTCCCTAAAAGGATGTCCTAAAACTAATTCCATTCAGGTTTTGTGGACTCCACCCCCACTCCAGCCAAAGCCATCAGGACATTGGGAAAGACAAATCCCATCACCACCAAAGGGAAGGTTGCTGGGACCTGAG